GGCAGAGAGGTCCAGTCGATACCATGACAGCACCTTGGTACTGTACACATGGGATGGGAGACGTGGTGTATCTGCGAGGTATTCGTGCGGATATCCTTTGAGCTCTCTCGGTCCCGAGTACGAGAATGTTGCCCGATGGAGTCTGGCTCTTTCAGCCTCAGCACGGCCATCGGGACATGGCTTACTTGAGGTCGGTGCTAACAAGCTCCGAGGTGCGATGGGTTGGGTGAAGCATTTGCTCGTTCAATGGCTGTGGCATGACCTTTCACTGAGCATGACTCTCCCGTGCCTCTTATTGGCTCGAAAAATAACGACAGAGGCTAGATGCTCCAGTGAGTCTTACGCTAAGCTAGGCCCGTTGCTAAGTATAGCATCTTTCCCGTCTCTAAAATAAGACGGGCTAGTCTAAAAGCGGTAAATAACGGTGACGTCCTTACATTAGGTACCCCGTTGTTCGGTACTAGCCCGCACTGCCCGGCTGGCTGCAAATCGAACCCGACGAGAAGAGATTCAACCAGTAGATAGAGTAAACATACTGCCTCATACATACATTACATACCTGGGCCAGAAGCTTTCTACTCAGTATAGCGAATATGTTTAGCAATTACCCTTGTCAGTCTCCGCCGTCTTACTATACCAGCACGCGATGTGCCTGGTGGTCTGTAGGTACTGTTAGTACCCAATGTAGCTAGGAAGACACGTTAGCACACTTCACTGGACACCGGCATGTAGTCTACTGAGTAAGCACCGATCGACTGGGCCAATCAGTGACTCTGTCGCGGAGTTAGCTGCACTGCCGGCCGAATCCTCTAGTATCAATTAAGTTTAGCGACGGCACTTATCTTTTTATTTATTTATTTTTTTTTAAATTTTCTCCCTAGCGTAGGTACCGTATCCACTGTCTATACCTATCTCTGCCCCGTAGCCAAATTCCAAGGTTGCAACCCCCCGCCTCCGCTGGCTGCGCTCGTTACTGACTACCCACCTAGGTCACGATCTTCAACCCGTCCGGTGAATATGCCAACATCGTGCTGTTACGCCGTCACGAGCCCGCACCGCAATGTCCGCCACAGCAGTCGACTCGGTCCCGAAACCCCGCATCCAGGTCGTGCTCTACGTGCTCGAGATACACCCCCCCTTTCTTATTCCAGTGGCAGCGCCGAAGCGGTGATAGGGCCCTCTTCGCAGCTTCGCCTGGACCCAGTAGCGGAATCTCTTCACTTTGCACTACGCATTCCGTCACACTGCTCGTCAGCGCTCACGTCTAAGCTTTATCAGCGCACTCCGCACGTCCCACACGCCCCTGGGCCTTCACTGCGTGTTGGCTCGCCTTAGCAGCTTACCAGGTCCACCATCCACTTGTCGCCTTCCTCTCCTTCATCGTACCTGTTGTCTGTGTTTCTCCGGCTCGGGACCGACTACCCAAGGCATTGCCCTCGCCGCGGTTGAGGATGCCGGCAACCCCAGAGTCTCATCACTCCGGCGATGGTGCTTCGGCCTATAACCAGATTACTCCAACCGGCGCTTCAATTGCCAATACCCCACCGGATCCCGATGCCTCGTTTGTCAAGGTCACCCGCGGCCACAGCTGTGTCCTGTGCCAGCAGCGCAAGGTGAGATGTGACAAGAAGAAACCATGCTCCAATTGCGTCAAGGCCGGCGTCGACTGCCGGGTTGTACCACCACAACCCCCGAGGCGAAGGAAGAAGCGCATCGCCGAGCGTGACATTGTTGAGCGCCTCCGGAAGTACGAGGCTTTGTTGTCTCAGAACGGCATCGAGTTCGATGCCCTGGGCCCCGATATAAAAATCACCGAAGCCGGCTCTGTCGAGGAGGGTGACGAGCTGGACCCCCACTTCACCAGGCAGAGGGCCAAGGCCCCGCCTGCCGGCACCGATGCCGATGTCATCTCATCACCTGGCGAGGATCTTCACAGACCGCGGTGGGTAGCTTTCCGGGGTAGATTGTCTGTCTCCATGTCGCCTGTGCTAATTGAAACACGCTGTTAACAGCACTTTCAAATGGTTCCCTTTCCAGAAAGAGGTAAGTCGGTGCCGTGCTCTCCCTTCGTTATTTCCCATCTCACGTGAGTCTAGTTCCGAGCGCATATTGATCCACTCATGGATTCTTCCGAAGAGGAAGACGTCGGGTCAACCATCAACAACGCTTATGACCAAATGTTCAGCAACGTGGATGGCTTTCCCTTTGCGATTGGCGGTCACTACCAAAGTGTCACTGACCTGCACCCATCAGGTGTACAGGTTTTCCAATTATGGCAGATCTACCTGGACAACGTCAATCCCCTTCTCAAGCTCACTCACACATCCACCTTGCAAGTTCAAATCATTGAGGCCTCGACAAACCTGACCAAGGTGTCTAGAAGTCTCGAGTCCCTGATGTTTGCCATCTACCTCATGGCAATCACGAGCCTTACCGAGGATGAGGTGGCGCATACATTTGAGGCGTCGAGATCCGGCCTGTTAGCCAAATATCAGCACGCCACGCAGCAGGCCTTGTTCAATGCCGGATTTATGCGCATGCCAGATCTGACAGTACTGCAGGCCTACTTACTATATTGTGTAAGAATCATCTCTCTGTATTTGATCGTCTTCTAATCCTAACCAGTACCAGATTGGCGTCAGGCAACAAACAGACCCCAGGTCCTTGTTCTGTCTTACAGGGATAGGTGTCCGTTTAGGCCAACGTCTCGGCCTACAGCGAGACGGCGCTGAGTTCGGGTTCTCGCCGTTTGAGGTAGAGGAGAGGAGGAGACTTTGGTGGAACATTGCTAGCTTTGATAGGCGCATAGGAGAAATGTGTGGATCAACTATCACAGCCATTTCGACTGGCGGAAACTGCAAGTTGCCGCTGAATATAAACGATGCCGACCTAAATGCACATGCCAAAGATGCGCCTCTGCCGCATACTGGTGCCACCGAAATGATATTTGCTCTGACGCGACTTGAGTTTGCTAAAGCACCGGGTAGCGACAGGATGAAGGTCCAGCTATCTGCTGCCAATCCACAAGCAGTGCCGAATCTGGCGGATCACCGCCTGTCGAGCTACCTCGATCAATTCGCGCATTATATCGAGGAAACGTACCTGAAGTACTGTGACTCGAAAATCCCTCTTCATTACATGACACTCCTCATGACACGAGCCAACATCTGCAAGCTGAAGGTTTACTCCGGTTTCTTCCGGATCGCCATAACCGCTCCCCACTCCCTGCCCGCTGCCGACAGCGACGCGTTCCTAATCGAGGCCATACGGATGCTAGAGTACGACGGCATGATCCAAGCGCACGAAAGACTCAAGGGCTTCCTCTGGTATACAAAAATGCATTTCCCTTTCCCGGCCTACGTCTACCTATTAAGCGAGCTCCGGCATCGCACAACAGGCGATCTGTGCGAGCGCGCGTGGGAAGCTATTTTCGAACACGCAGAAAGGAGACAAATGACAACAGTAACACAGACCCCGCTACATCTAGCATTCAGCTCGCTCTTCATAAAGGCCTGGGATGCCAGAGAGACCGCCGAAGCCGCAAACGGTCGGACCCTAGTCCCGCCAAGGCTCATCTCCCTGATGAGACAGATTGACCTTCGCAAACCGAAGAAAACCACGGATAGGACACCGCTGTCAACACCATCGCCGAAGGTCCCCGTGACCAGTAACGCCTACGCGCCGACAGCTCAATCGGCATCGGTATCAGCCGCGAACGTGGTACCAAACAGCGCGATGTACCAGTCCCCGGACATGTTCGGCAACATGCAGCCCGCAGACATGAACAGGCAGTTCTCCCTAGTATTCCCGGACCTCAACTTCGGCGGCGAGATGGACTGGAACTATCTCATCCAGGAGTACGGCGGGTACATGCCCCAGCACGGCATGCAGGGCTTCGGCGGGCCACCGGTGTTGCAGGACCCCGCGCAGGCCGGGACCTGGTAATGAAACACGCGCGCTGTATGTATATATGATATGATACCTATGATATATATTATTTTTTTTTCTTTTCCTTTTTTCTTGGCTACCTACTCGGATCAAACCGGTTTATTGCCCGATAGGGGGGTTTTGGGGAAATGGGGAACGAACTCGAGCTGGCTGGAGTGAACATACCTGTTGTTGTTTTTTTTTGTACGATCAACCACGTAATCTAGTTCCGTTTGTAATGGCTTTCGGGATTATATAGTGGCGGTGAATCTAGTGTAGATATCTGATCGGTATCCCGGCTTGCTCTGCTGTGAAACTTGGTTATTACGCCTTGTTCTATTGCTTTGGTTGAGGGGGGACGGAATGGGAATTGAGGTCGAGGTGCTGGGTTTGGTTTATATGATTCTGGTGTCAACGTGATTCTACGCCGATGTGTCTTCGCTGGAATTTGTATTGAAAACGGCTGATATCTCGTACATGGTGTCTTGCTTACGCTCGGTATGTTAGTGCTAATTAGCATGATAGGGGTTCAAGCAGTCATGATGCTTCTACTTCGTGCGTATATAGCTAGGTAGGTATGTAGGTATGTATGTCCAGTTCAAATACCAGGCCTGTTAATGTAGTAACATGACCCCCTACTCAATAGGTAACGTACGTCTATAGGGGAACATACTCGAGTGTACGCGGAATGCCGTATATAACGGCCCTATCCGTTAGCTACCGCTATATTTACGACTTGATTACACGGTGCACGGGGCTGTGCCATGAGATGTCTATCTCGCGCCGTGCACGATTTAAGACTGGAAACGTGGTACGGTTGTGTAAAACCGAGTGTAGCGGCTTCACAAGCCCTGACTGATACGTAGAGTCCGGAAGAAACACGATAAGGTCTGACAAGACGACGGTGAAAGCGACCCCATAGACCAAAAGAAAAACACCACAGAACGAAAGAAACAGGTAGGAAATATGAACGTCTTGTGATTCGCTATGTGAGGATTAAATCTAACCTAACCTAACAATGAAAGTAAAAGTAGGGGAAGGAAAGCAGCGGAGGGAAAATAAAAAAAAGGGAACACCGAATAGGAGACTCGAACTCCTGGCTCAGGAAACCTCATACGTTCATGAGAATCCCGCATTTTAACCCCTACACCAATTCGGTTGTTGTTAAGGGAAAGGGGGCTTGGGTTTGTTTATGTCGCTGGGTGCTCAGGAACAAGATGGAATGGGCGGGTTGGGTGTAGTTTTCCGCTTGGGTATGCCTTGTATTATCGATTAGGGGGTGAATAACAACGGAGGGCGACGAGGTACTAGTAGCGGTAAACCAGTAAGAGAAGGAAAAAGGGGGGACGAAAAAAGAGGGAGAGAAAAAAAAGGAACACCGAATAGGAGATTCGAACTCCTGGCTCAGGAAAACCCCCTTTCTCCGGGAGAATTGAGAATCCTGAATGTTAACCCCTACACCAATTCGGTTGCTCGGTTTGTTGGGGAGGGAGCTGTTTGTTTCGGTATATACGTCTGGAGAGGGGGGGAAGTCACGTCCGGTTTATTTTGTTTGCTGGTGGGCTCGGCTGCCTGCCTGCTGTGTCGGTGGCTTTGTTTGTTTGGCTTGAGGCAGTCACGATCGTGTTCTTGCGCTGGATGTTTCACGTGATCTGGAATGCGTTATGGTGTTTTAACGGATGCCTTCCTTACGGGGTATCGATAATGGGGCGAGGACTGAGGATGTTAACGGGGTTCGTGATGTGCTACAGGGCGATTGACGGTGATAGTAGATAGTCACATACGAAAGCGGCTTACTTTCTCTTGAGAAATCGCCTTGCATTACAGATACGTTGATTACTGCGCTTAATTACGAATTAACGGTTCGATGTTACGAGTGGCAATTCATGAGTGCTGTTCATCAGAGCACGTGAATCTAACGGGCCATGGCATTGTGTGTAGATTCTAACGAGCTGACATAGATGTTCTATTTATATAGTCCAGATTCTAAGATGAAAACACTAATCTATCCACGACTACCTGTATGCTAGGAGAATTACATTATCATTGTCTGTATAGCGGTGATATGAAAATGGTATTGATCTTGAACCTTCGGGTGAGCTGAGATGGGCCTACAACGCCGCCCGATGCCTCCATGGGTAATTGGGGGGTATACATAGGTATATACATATCCATTTCCAACTCTATCCCTTACGGCAAGGCAGCAGTCTTTAGATATCTTGAGACCTGTGCTAATGCCCTGCGGCCCGGTTTACGCCCCGCAATGCCAGTACAGTCTCTCCAAAGAGACAAGCCCCTTCGGCTGTCTTCGCTGCGGCCAATTGCGGAACGTCTTATCCGTGCGGTAGGTGAGAGTGTCGGACTATATGACGATTTATAAGGGCGGAATGATTGAACGTCACGGAATGTAGAAGAAAGGCGTTGTGGATGATGAGTACTCTCTCGGCCCCATCGACACCATCCATTCGCTCCGCAAGTCGTCCGGCAGCATCTCTAGGAAATTGTTGAAGTCGCTGATTCCGTCTACGGGTGGGCCATCGCGGGATTTATCTATAAAAGGAGTCACTGCGCTTATGGAGTCTGGCGAGGTTGTATGGTATCCTGGATCCATACTTATCGTGTCTGTGCCGTCGGGACTGAGGAATGCCGTGCTTCCGGTCATGTCATATAATGATACCGGCGGTCCCTGCTGCTCCGAGATCAACATCTCGCTCATCTCAGAGCTCTGAATTTCCGTTTTCGGCTGGACCTGTGATGGTTTGTGCCTAATCCCTTGCTGTGCGTCTCGCACACGCTGAGCCCTCGCCAGCAGCCGGTTTATAGGCTTGACGAAATTGTCCCCGCGTTCTGTGCTGTTGCGCGTTTTGACGCGCAGCCATCTGTCGTAAACCGTTGTTGCGTATGTCCACGCTTCGTCACATTGCGGGGAGGGTGGGCGGATACATATCTCCCACAGGATGAGAGCCAGAGTCTGCCATTGAACGTAGGTGTATGATTGCCAGGCCCAGCGGTCGAGACGTGGATCTTGCAATATTTCGTTTGTACGCCTGAGGGTGGTAGTCGCAGTGACAAAAAGCCAGTCCCGTAAGGTTTTGTTATCGGGCACGGCTTGGGAATTACCATGGGTAGATGCTTCGGCGTTCTCGGCATCATCAACGGCGGGTAATGTGTTGGCTTCTCCTTTGCTTTTTCGGGATACTAGTTCAGAATAGTACGTTACTACCCGTATCCGTGCCGCGGCTACGTAAGAGATTTGCCCTGCGAGATGCTGTAACGGTTGAGATGGATCGCAGCGCTTTGTGAACTCTTCGATCCATTTATCGTGTTCATCGAGAAGCTGGAGACGGTTTTGGAATGGAGAGCAACGTTCTCTAGGCACGGAGTTAGCGTAGCTTCAGTATGCGCCGTGAAGATGGTGATATCAAGTAGTGCAACTCAGACGAACAAGTGGATCAAAATCACTCAGAGACGGCCATCTGTCGAAGAACACAAGAAAAGCGAAGACAAGGCCTAGAGACACCCACCGTATCATCTTCCAACTTAATGCCAGCGCCTGACACCGGATCTGGGTAAATGTCATCTCGGTGGCATTATCGCTTTCGGGCGGCAGCTCGGTCATATCGGGCGAAAGATCGGAATCATTCACATTGAGGGGCCAGCGAGTGTCAAAAACAGTCTCGTGGGGCAGGGTGGGCTCGTAGCCGTGATATTCAGTAGAGCGGAAATGAAGTATGCCAATACTGTGCCATACGCGTCGACGTATCTCCGTCTCGAAGGGCGGAAGGTTGAATACCGTTCCATCTTGGTGTAAGCCCATCGAGTGTGCTATGTGTGAAATAAGTGCTATGAGTGACAGTACGGTGCGCGTCCCGTCGTCTGCCCGCAATACCGAGACATATAGCACAGCCGCCTGCAAGAGCAACATGCTCTGAGTATTCAGCAAGTTAGCCCGTGCCAATGCTTGCTCTACCGCGAACCTGTACCGCACGGCCAAGGTCGATCGCGGTATTCCCAAAATATCGGCGCATTGGGCAGCATCTAAGCTAATGACGGAGGAGTAGTAGATAGCGAACAGAAGTGCTTCCGTCTCCTTGTCAATGGCCTCCGGCTTTAATACAGCCTCCCAGAAGAGACGCGTCAGGGTAGGTCTATGGAATATATGAACTATTGGTAAAACATTATCGTTGAAAACGTGAAAGAGTTTCATCGACAAGTCGATAGAAGGATGGAAGTCTCGCAGAGAATGAGCAAGGGATCGGTACCCCAGTATGGCTGCGTTTGAGCCTCCCGATTCCGGAGTTGGAGATTCGGCTTCGTACAATGGAGAACTCTCATCGGGCTGGCTCGGATCTTCCCTGTAGTCAGTACCGAGGAACATTCCACGTAATTGTTCAATCTTGATGATATCAGCCAAGAAGTCCGGCTAGCATGGCTAAGGTACGACTAACCGACTCGGTCAAGTCTGCCCATATTATGTTACTAACATATAGGCTCTGCGACTCTTCAACAACGAGGCGGCCTACTCCCGGAAGCTCTGTAGCGCCTTGGCCGGTGTTGCTGACCAAAAAGCCCCGGCTATCCCGGGTTTGGGGGCGTGTTGGCGGCGCATGCTGCGGCGTGGAGCCGGGTGCTGGATGAGAGTCCGCCTCCCGGCCTTTTGACTGCTGCTGTAGACGCTTGATGGTTGTCTCTAGCTGGGCTAGGCGATTCAGGATTTTGCCGTCAACTACTTGGCGCGGCCGCTTCGCTGCCCTACCGGCGCCGGGCGGATGGACACAGTCAGCGCCGACTTTTAGGCAGTTGGAGCACGGCTGGAGGCGGTCGCATTTGACCTTGCGCTGCCTACACAGAACACAGCTCCGGAGATGGGCGGGCTGCGTTGATTTGCTGAAGTCGGTTGCGGTGCCAGACTCATGCGCCCCCTCGGTAGTATCATCTGGGGGCGGTTCGGGCATGGCGGCGTTGTGGGCTAGTCGCTGCTGGATGTCTGTTGGTTGACCGCGGTCACAATTTATAGAAGTTTCCATACTCCCAGCAGGAGGGTGTATTCGGACGGCCTCATGAGTTCATGAGTCAAGCCTGAGTTCTTTTTGGTTGTTCTTTCTTAGCTGAAGAACTCCAAAGCTAGCACTGCCAGTCACTAACTGCATCTAGCTAAGACGCCCCTGAATCGATCGTCCTTTACGGAATGTCTACGTATTAAGTACGTAAAGAACGTACAATGTGCCGACGGTGCCTACCGGGCTTCAGACCGTATCAGGAATACGGAGCAAAGAATGCCCTGTCGGTAATGTCTACATAGAGATCCAACCGAAAAATTAGTCATGACGGAAGACAATACTGTTGACTCCTATCCCGCTTTATGATGCACTGGACTTATGATTACTTCGGCAAAAAGAGGGCAGATAAGTCAAAACTATGAGGTCTCCCTGGGAATCGAACCCAGATTAGCGGAATCAGAATCCGCTGTGATAACCATTACACTAGGAAACCTACCAAGTGGCTGGACGATCCGGCTAATAATGATGGTACTTATAAGACTGGCTAACATCTACTCTCAGCTTAGTCACTGCGCTAGACAATAAGGAATACCTACTCATAAAGGAGCTGTTGAATGAGAGTCAACATAAATCATCCAGGTACACATCGGCCGCGACAAAGACGGAAACCAAACGGATAAGGAGTGTGACAATCTTGTTATATGCAACTGTACTTCGTAAGCCTGTACGTACAGTTGTCGCGATGCGGCGGCTGACCACAAGTCTCTGAGTGTACGGATAGGGTGTACTCAACTACATACTCCCGGGTATTGCTTGGTCCTTGGCTTTCCGGTAACCGCTGAAGCCGCCGAGTGCCATAACTGAAGCCCTGACAGCATGCTGGGAGACGTAGTTATATACTGAGGCCTGACTGACACAAACTGTGACACTGCTTACGGTGCGGTTGGCGGGACGGAATACCGTGACTTGGGTTCAGCCGCATCCAATCCAAAAAGGGTCTCCTTTAGCTATTCGGCACCGCGATTTCACTATCTAGTCCGAGAATGATAGCAACGCCGGTCACGGACTACGCTTCGGCTCGGAAAGCATCACATTAAATAACTCATCGGGTTGCAATGCTTTGGTTCGGGACCGGGTGAAGTACCTACCTAGATGGGACTCTCTAGTTCGGCACCGTTCGCGCTTCGACTAGATAGAGAGAAGGGCGGCACGTATGGATATCCTCCTGCACGCCCTGCCATATCGACCGGTAATTCCTTGTCGATATCTTCGGGCGGGTAATGTGACCGTGGGGGGAACAATAGGGTAAAATGGAAGAAGCCGAACTGAAGCAAGTAGATGACTCTTCAAAGACAGCCAACGAGGACGGCACCTAATCCACAGCTGCGACGGGCCGGGCCGGGGGGCGAAGCACCTACACGCCCCCAACGTAATTGACCATCAGTTGGCCAGACTATGTATCTCGGCCAC